TACACACCTAGATATTAATAAATGGTAAATTTTCAATTTCATATGTATTTCTTGTTCGTTTTTATTCAAGTTTTATAGGATTAAATCTAAAGAAACGTTCGGTAAAAAGCTTTATTATTGAAAGGATTTGGTTTTTTAGTGCTACGAGTCTGCCATTTTTTCAAAACTTGCCCAAAGAAACTTATGATTCTTTGTCAATAATACTTAAACCTTAGCAAATTATCTCTTTAACAAGCCTGGGTTACTTAAGATCGTTTTCTGCTTTAACTTTTATTGAAAATAAACGTTTTGTTTAGTGCAATTCGAGTAATAAATTTTGAAATTCCTCGAATGTAGATGCGCAGTACGTGTGCGCGTGGACAATAGTAGGCACCGTCCTTAAATCAAAATCAATTCGAACCGAATAGTTTTTGTTTATCGGGTAAACATCTTGTAACATACTATATAACTACACCTTTTGCTGTTCATTAACCGCAAAGGAATATTCATTGAAGCGAAGAAGTATTGTCATTAGAGCGAACAGGCATACAATAAGACGAATTTAGCATTGAATTTGACAATCATTAATATGTTTGCGTGGGTTCATTAACGTTTTCAAACTTTCATTAGCGTTTTGGTGCAGACAATAAACCACAACACGCATTCAATGCAGTGTTTTGGACATTTATTTACGCAATACAATATAAGTATATTGCCCGGTCAGAGTCAGTAGCTCGAACAATCTTTGCGCATGCGCTTGTTATGTTGGTACAAGAAAAATTTCACAAACATGAAAATATGAAACGCATATTTATAGTTAATTTTGTCGCAACACACATGTTTTTATTGAGCAAATATACAAGGTAGACGAAAATTTTCACGAAAAATGAAAATATGAATTCATAATTTTTTGTTGTTGGAATATATTTTTTATTGAGCAAAAATGTGTGTAATTATGAGTAATACCATGATCCMTGAAGTGTTTTTTTTTTGTTCTTTGGAACTGTAGACTCCCTTAAATTTTCTACTTCTTGATTAGTTTGAAAGGAGAATCGATTATTTGGATGCCATTTTACTTCGAACCAAAATGATTTTCTAACAATGACTCAGTATGCATACAATGATATGGTAGAGACTAGATAAACTAGTTAACCGCGTCGGTGTTAGGAATCGAACAGTAGGAGAATTGATTTAACTTAATACACCGTATGGTTTGTGATGTTTAGAAACTGATGTTTCGGACGTTAGTCCTTCGTCGGAATAAGCATACAATGATGTCAATTTATACACGAACAAATTCGCGCAAGAAGACAAACAAAAGAACTATTCAAATAGATTTTTCTCATGGGACGTAATGCACCAGTGACTTTTACCTTTTTGCTACTAACAAGTATTCAAGATGAATAGTCCAGTTTGAAGTTTATTGCCTCGGTAATCATGGTATTACAAAATAATACCTTGACTTCTTCGGGATATTAGGGATTAAATGTCACCGAAGCCTCGGAAAGTTTAGCGGAAATCCCTCGAACTTCGGCTTCGGGACTTCCACCAAACTTCCCTCGGCTTCGGGGACATTTAATCCCTAATATCCCTCAGAGTCATGGTATTATTATAATAATGTGCAAGCTTTTTTAAGTGTAACACCCTCACAGCCAGACTAGCAAGATATGATTTCGAGCCTTCTGCTATGGATCTATTGAAAACCCTATTTATTTAAAACTTCAGGTAAATTCCAAATCGGTCTGTGAAGCCGTGCTCTGACTTTGTTTAGCCAAGAGGCTGTTTCAACGTATCGATAAATATTGAATTGAAAAATTTGAAAACCATTGACTGTTAACTTACCACAGATAGCTCCAACCAGTAGCAACGCCTTGACAATCATTATGGACGGTCTTATCTGGAATTCAAACAAACCAACCTCTATTAGTTTCAAATTCATGTACGTGGTATAACATGTATATCGTAAGGCTTGTATCGCTATTACACATCTAAGGTGCATTCTAATTAGCTATGGGAAGCATGAACAGATAACTAGCTAAAAACTAGTGTGAGCTGCGTCGGTGTTTCTAATGAAACAGTAATGATAAAAATGTAAATTATACACCGTGAAAAGTGAAAAAACTTACTGACGTTTCGGATGCTAGTCCTTCGTCGGAGTAAAAGAGCATGGGAAGCGTGGGTGGCGTAGCGGTGAGAGCGCTCGTTTCTCACCAATGTGACACGGGTTCGAGTCCGACGAGCTCGGTGTTGTTAAGTTAAGGGACAAGAACTGTTACAGGTCACCTAACTGCCTGATCTATTATCCTCAAACTAATTCAGAAAACTCGTAAGCTCAGGTGGAATGAGTTATTATGTATACCCGATGAAACATAACGCTAGGAACCTGGATGTCCAATCAGATACTAGGGGAAGATCCCATGTGAGATTTTCTTAATCTCAATACTGAATTTGAATTTCTAATGGCATATACTTTACAAGGGCTGGTTCACACTTCAACATAAGCATAAGCAACATAGTACTATTGTAATGCTTATGCTTATGCTTATGTACGCCCGGTTCACACTTTGGATTTCACAAGCATTAGCATAAGCATAATGAAATGTTTGACTATATCTTGGAAAAGGTCATTTACACGTTTTACACTTCATTACGAGAAAGACGAATGCTAGTTGTCCAGAAAGATTATCATTAATGCGAAGTGGCAATCATTTGAGTTAAGAGAAATTCACTTGTAAGTATTGCTTGTTCATTAAGAAAAAAAGATAGAATGGCCGATGTATATTTCCGGAAGTCCCCCTCCTCGGGTCATTAACTTAACATGGGATTCGACTTTACAACCAACGCCACCCAAACCATTTTTCACACAAAGTAGCCAATCATGATTGAATATTTTAGTAAACAATCAATCTGCACAAATTTTTACATTTCATAAAATCACGTCACCATCGTATTCGATTCAGAAAAATGTGCAATGTGATTGGTGTGGCAGTGATGTGGCATTGGCGTGACCGTGTCCGCGCCGTGTTTATGCCGTGTTCCGGGTATTTGATTGGATGGAGAGTAAATACTCGCATACTCGCGTAATGTGATTGGTCTGGCATATGCCTTGCCGTGTCACGACCGTGTTCGTGCCGGCGCCAGCTTTTCAAAGTCATACGAAAACTGCCCTACGTAATGAATCGGAGAGGCCGATCGAATGACGGCTCCAGGATGTATGCAATTAAAACGTCTTATCCCGACCCATTTCGTTACTTTCCTTTTCTTTTTTCTTTCTTTCTTTTTTCTTTCTTCATTATATAAAAGGGAATTTCCAACTAGATAGGGAACTTTCTCTCAGGATTTTAGTTTACAAAGTGTTCACCCGGTATTTTTAAAAAAAAAAAAAAAAAAAAACGTTGTCGGTTGGAAATCAGAAATCTGTGGCCTTGTAGCACGCCGCAAACTAAAACTACAACGTAGTTTGCTTTTAGATTGGAATATGAAGCATGACCTTTGAATTCAGTAGAAATTTATGTGATTTTTCGTATGTTAGCCAGAAAACGTTAAAGTAAAAAAGGCCGTTTAGTTTCAGATCGCTCAATTCAGAGATCCGACCGACATGTTCTTTGAATAGACCCCTCATTCATTCTAATTTCGTCAGTTGCCTAGTTACATTTGACGCTAAGGTTTAGATATTTTTTGTTGAAAATAAACCGCGTATTGTTGCTCAAAAAAGTTGTTTATTTGTATGTTTGGTATTCATAATGAATCCATGTTCTTTTACTAGAATAAACTAGAGAGACCTTTTGCATTGGTTATCAAAAAACGTTTCTTTATTCTTTTAATGATCTGACCAAATGTACATAAAAACCTGCTTCGATGGCCGCCTTCAAGAAGACAAAACAAATAGTCTATAATAGTTGAAGGAAGGATGGAAAGTTATTAGTATTCGAATATTGGTTGAGTCTGGGAACTGCACGTATTCACTTAAAGATTTCTACAGATAATTAGGTCTTTAACATCAAAAGAACACGGAACTCCATTAAATGCTTAAAGACGAAACAAATGTCTTTGTCGAACGTGTCTCCAAACTCCAATTTACTTTATAGATTGAGAATTATCATAAATTGGCTCTCATAAAACATATTTCTTCAAAGGCTTGAGTCTATTTTATTTATATCGCACTAAGAAACCCCAATTCTTAGATTAAGTCTTAACAGACTTTTTTTACACATATCAGAAATATCGAAATCAGGCTGTCTATAGTTTTAGAAAGTTTGTTTGTAATTGCTAGCAGCCGAAAGGATGGCTGGAGTTGTTATTTAACAGCTGTTGCGTTGCTAATTAATCTCATTTGTATCAATTGAAAGATTGGGATATTASCTCTAAATAAAAATATCAAATCGGACAGAAACTTAATGAGTTGTTGCTATATCATAAACTAGGCAGATATTTTTTCCAGTTTTTCCAGTTTTTCCAGCCGTAATGTAATTCTGACGTTCTGAGATGGGAAAAGTGAAGTATAAGATAGCTTTCGTTTTTCTTTTGTTTTCTTTTAGCAAGATGACTAGATTATATCTGTGGTGTGTTGCGGCTGCAGATGACTATCATAAGCTAGGCAGATATTTTTTTCCAGCTTATAGCGCCGGCATTTAAGGGGAAGAAAGAATGCAATTCTGAGGTTGTGAGATGGAAAAAGTGAAATATAAGACAGCTTTCGTTTTTCTTTTGTTTTCTTTTAGCAAGATGACTAAATTATATCTGTGGTGTGTTGCGGTTGCAGATAAAACCGTGTTTGTATCACAAGAATTCTATAAAGAAAAGCCTTCCAGAGAGATAGATAGAGAGAGAGAGAGACCACACACACACAAAAACAAAACAAAAAAATTACCTTGGACTCTGCTACCTCGACAAAGTACTATTCCAAGCAAGTTTTCTTCCCCCAAATCAAATATCTTCTACTAAGTGTTGACCTCGCTCCCGTCCTGGGACGTTGACTGTTGGGAGGATGAAGTAAACGTGAGATCATCCCTCTACGAAGAGCTGGTCTTATAGAAAATGACAAGCTTAATTAACATGTTGGTAGGTGTGTGTATCTTCGTTGTTGAGTTGGAGGGCGGTAGATAACGGATGTTTACACAGCCAAAAAATAAAAAACTAGGTGTGAAGTATCACTGTTAAAATCGTATTGACACAATGGTTTATGAGGCAATCTGTAACATTATGACATTTAGAACATTGTTCTGAAAGACTCGGAAACGAGCTGTTTCTTCTATTGTCTATTTATTGAAATGTTTTAAAGCATAGTTGTGAAAACATGTGAAAAGCGTCACCTAAGAAGGATTTATCAAAACCATTTTTTTTCCAGCTTTCTAAGCGTTTCAATATTTACTTACTATTTCATTCTACGTAGAGTGGATCGTTAAGGYCCACTTAGAAAATCTCTTTAAAGTGTTTTGTTATTACATAACCTCATCAAAGTACCATTGTTATTACCTTAACAGTAATACTAATTGTTCTTTAAAATCAAAATGTACTAAAACATGTACCCAGCCAGTAAAACCTTGGGAATATTCCCATAGATCCAAGATAAGATTCACTTAATGAGATATCTTTTTAATGAAATAAAGACTTGCCATTTTGGCACTCGTATGGGCCATACTGAATATTTTTTTTTACCCGAAAAATAAAATCTATATTATCTTGAATTCAAGATACCCGAGTGTTCCACATATTTGCTTAGGCCGGTGTATAGTAGTTTACCGATTTCCAAATAAATCTGAAACTTAATTTCAAATAAGGAAAATAAAATACAAAAATGAAATCTATAGTGTCATAAATGTAGCGTCTACTATAGTTACCTTTCGAGACTACCAAGTTCATGGCAGTTCATTTCCAGATAAATCTCAGTTAAACTTAAGTTCAAATAAGGAAAAATCCCTTATTTTTGTGATAGACAAAGATGAAGTTAAGGTAGGAAGACGTCTGACAGAGATAATGTAACGTCTTACGAGAGAAAACACGACAAAACCATGCCGGAAAAGAGAACGGCTGATTCTATTGTCAGAATTTTGACATTAAAACACCGTTCTTTTATCAAAGTTACACTAAAAACGTAACTGCCGTCTATAAGAGTTTCGATTGCTGTTACTAGTTTTGTCAGCCTCGTGTTTTACGACGGATCTAATTTTTAAAACTTTGCGCCAAAAGCTGATAGTTCAATATGAAGCCGGGATCGAATCGATGAGACGTTTATCGAAAGGATATTAAATCATTAGCAGAAAGTCCTTGTATTTAATTGCTTTTCAATAACTAAAAAAATACAATATGTGCAGGGTTTATAAAGAATTTTCTTATTGATTCGCTAGTCAAACAGAACCTTTAGAACTAATTGTTTTTCTCATTTCACTTCACTTCACTTCATTTTATTTGATTTGATTCTACTAGATTCAGCACAGTACAATATAGACGATGCTCTTTCTTCATCGAATGAACTATATTAATGAGGTGTGAACTACGGCCGAAAATTTGAAGCATTACTTAGATATATATAGATTCAGGTTTATAATGACTCTTCGCTTAGTTTACTTAAAGTATCTAAATATGAGACCCGCCCCAAAACAAATACAGCTCTTTTGTTCGTTCGTTGCCGACCAGCTTTACTGGAGTCTTCGAAATGCATGTAGCTAAACTAGGAAATTGTTGAAATTAAAAAACTCGTGACAATAAAAATTATAAACCGCTATATCCCTTTTACTATCAGGATTTTTTGTTTTCGTGGGCTGAATAAGATTTGTTGTTTATTTTTCTTGCTTGTTTAGTAAAGTATGACTACTTTAAGAAGATTAAAATCGAAAATGATGGCAAACAAATTGATCTGAAACTCGAAATGAATTGCTTTTAAGTACATTCTATTTTCATTTTTAGAAATAGATTAAACACAATATTTTAATTGCTTTAAATGCCGTCTAATCTATATGAGACGTATGAATTATATAAACAACAATATCACTAGACTAAGAAATATATATTTAAAAAAAACATATACTAAAAAAAAAAGGTTAAAATAATTCAATGAATAACTAAATGAATGAATAAATAGGACTTAGCAGTGGTATTTCCACAGAGTGGTTCATCCACTGTAATTCCAATTGGAATTTAGAAGTTTGATTTTAAACACCCTCGAAGCACAGGAGAGAACCAGCCCGGTGGGACTCGAATCCGGGGCGCATTCACGATCGTTATATTATATTGTGTGTTTTTTCTTTCTATGGAAGAAATGCCTTCTTAATTTATTTGAAATACATTCAAACACAATTCAATTGGGCAATTGAATATGCAATATATAACTTATCGAATATATATGACTATATATCAATTTTGGTGTTTTGATACGTGATAAGTCTTGTTCATAATTTGAATGCTTTAGTAACGAAAATGATACTAAGAAACAAATGAAACAAAAAGAAAGAAAGAAAGATAAGTGTACATTTACATCAAAATATACGCCATATAGAGAATTACCACTGGATAGAATACGACTTTTTGAAGAACTTCGTTTTAGTTAGAAAATACCTTGAGTTATCTTGATCATAACTTAATCAACATCTCATTCATTGCATTCTCTTGTAAATGTGGTGAGCTTGGGTTGCCTGTGATATCAACTCTGTTAAGGACTTGATTTTAGTTTCATCTTATGTTATCTTATTCATCGATTTCTTTATTCACTTATTTCAATGTTTTCTTCTCGTCTCCAATAATTATTATTTTATTATAGTCTTAAAATTGTACACGACCACATCAGCCATGATGTAATATCAATCGTGTCTAAATAAATATTATTATTATTATTATYATYATYAKWATTATTATTATTATTATTATTATTATTATTATTATTATCTCTGTGCAGCCCAGATTTTGCTTCAGGGTGTCCTATAAATTGTAAAGTTTTATTTTGGTTGAAGGTTTATAATTATCTATTTATCAGCATTTTCAAGTCTATCTTTTTTGTGAAAGGTTCACTATTTCAAGAATGTCATCTCTTAGATAAAAATAAATTGGGCTTTCAGAAACACACATATCATATTGTAACACCAGACCAACTTCCTTCTTTTTACCCTCTAGTGATGATAGGGTTTCAATAATTACTTGCTTCAGTTTTACCCGATTTATATTCATAATTGTATCATCACTCTAATACGATATAAGCAAATTAATTTGGATCGTTTCCATTCGCATTCTTTCGAGGGAAAACTATGACTTATGGAATCAGTCTAGTATAGTTTGGGATGATATAAATAATCTGCAACAGGACGAGGACTACATGTCGGTCCAATTTGGAAATAATTGAATTCAAAAAATTCCTCTGACTACGAAATTGAACTCGGCCATTATCGGACTCTTCCAATATTGTCAGTACTCGGAATTTTTTCATCCAGTTATTTTTCTAATTGGACAGCGTGTAGTCCTATTAACTATACTAACTATTTGACTCCACTTTATATTACTTAATATATACTATCCTGCAAACATCCAATTAAACATCATTTATTGATTACTAGTTTCTTTTGGTTTGGATTCACGTCTAGATTTGCACCAAGCCGGCCTCTTTAAGACTCACGTACAGAGTCACGAGCGAAGCAAGTAAAACAAAAAACAGACAAACAAGCGAACAAAAACGAGTGTGTACACGTGTGATTCTGGTTGGACTGCGTGTGTTGTATTAAGTCTGCGTGAACTAATACCGAGACAAAAGACTTTGCAAAACTCTAGTTCATTGTACTTCTTGCATTGACTGCTGTTTCTGATCCTGTACTGATCATATCGAAGATAACATAGCTAAGTCAACAGACTTTCCTGAAAAACGAATAAATCAAACAAAATCAATTCACCTATGGAGTGTGTGCTACAWTGTGACTCAAATCTCTTGAGATATGAATAACGATTGAACCGGCGCCATGTTGTTGAACCAAGATGGCGGTTATAACGTAGGATGCACATGTTCTATAGACACCATATTTATATATCTGGAAAATAGGTAGGAAATTGGTTTTGATAAATATAAAAGCGAGCTATAGCGATCCCGTATACAAATTTTAAGAAGTGCATTGTACGTTTGAACAAAACACTCTTTCACGAATTAATCGTTTTGAGTGGTGCTCTGGGAACAGCCTCATTTATCAACACCAGTCTACTACAATTTGTGTTAGAAATATTGATAAGCCGGTGTATTATATTGATAAATAGTTTTGACATCAAACATATATTTCTATATCATTTTTTAAAACTATCATTACTGGTACTTGTTGTCTGCAGGGCCCAGTTGTTCAAAGCCCGATTAGTGCTAATCCTGGGTTAACTCTTAATAAGACCTATAGAGTTAGTCCTGGATTAGCGCTAATCCAGCTTTGAATAACCCGGCCCAGCACGTTTGTATTTAATGAAGGATCCAGAACGATTCCAAATTGGATGGCTATTATACCTAGAAAGGCATCACTTAGCGTCCTTTTTAGTTTAGTACCTTATTGTTTTCCAACTCCAAAGGCGGGTGGATGCTCACCCAATTCACCCCCCTAGATTTTCCCTTGGAATTAGAGATATTGATAACATGTGTGTTTAAATATTTAACGAGCGGTGTATTAGACACAGGTGTAACTTGTATTGATAATTATGTCTTTGATGAAGCACACTTCTTGTTAAAATGCACATTATATGAAGAAAAAAGAAGTGGGCTTTATACAGAGATAGATAGAGAGAGAGATTGAAGTTGCATTGAATAAAATGCAACRCGACGATCTTTTCCTCTTTCTGATGAATCCACCTGACATAAAGAATACCCAGGAAATTATTGCTAAATTTATTTACAACATTACGAATCTACGAAAAGAAAATATTTACGATAGACAATAGTCAAATGGAAAAACCATGTAAATAATCAGTGTGCAAATATTATCTCATGTACATATTATTTGGGTTACTGTTAATATACGTAAGCGTACAAGATCCCATTCCTATTACCATGTATTTGTTTGCGTTGTGCAAACTTGTAAATCTCCTCATAACGTGAAAATTATAACATAAACTAGACTCTTCTGTCGTTTATTCCAGTCTATTATTACTATAGTCATAACAAGTCTGCTACTGACGAGGTGTATTAGAGCCAGGTGTAGTACCTATACTTTATGTATAGGTTTTTGAAATCAACTACAATTTTAAGTACAATTTTTTCCAATTTATCATTGATTACTAGTCATTACTAGTCTGTTACGAAATTATATGTATATTAGAGACATTTATATGTTGTATCAATAACTAAGTTAGAAATAATTTGTGACATCAACCTAATCAGCTGAGCGGTGAAATTTGTTTTAGCCAATCACAGCGCGTTTAGCTGTTTTGCCGCCACCTCTCATTCCCAGGCTACTATAACCCAACTTCAGCGTATTTTTCTGTTTTCTTTTGACTAAAATATAATATACGTGTCTACAAGAAGCAGAAATATCGAATCGAAAAGAAGAATAAAAATGATTACATTTTACTATCACGTTTGTTTCGTTCTTTCAAGCTCCAAAAATTTTCAGTCGTAATTGCCAGGAAAATAATGGCATTTTGGTTGGATTCATCCTCCTGGACTGTTTTAATTAGGCTTAAGATTCTATGAGAATATCTCAATTTAGAAACAGTTAAGTTATTGTTGGAAATCGACCTCATCAAGCTCATGAAGGTAGTTTTAATTAACAGACATCGTTAGTATATCTTTCACAGGATTTTAATTCCTGCCGAAAAAATAGGGTTTTAACAAGTCAATCACAGTGTATACATGACATTATTTAATGGCACGTGCCTATATGGAATGTCATGGATAAACGTTGATTGACCTCCACAAAAACTGCATGATGTGCCGTTTATCGCAACGCCAAGTTTTGTTGTAGCGTAATGATATATCAAGGCTATAGGAGAAGATGTACGCTTTTTTCCCGATGCCATTCCTACAATATTTTTTCCTGCTTGCAGCATAAGCTTTGTAGTGTTGGATTCATTTTGAATCATATGGTTGCACACACTCTATACACTCGGTACTTTGTACAGTCTGCGCATGTCTTTGTTTCAGTCAAGGTTTCACGACACCTCCCACATGGAATAAGGAAACCATAGGAGCTTAGACACTAGACAGACAAACCGAACATTGCTAATTATAGCAAGGAGTTAATCCTACATGGCCTAGGGGCCGACTAACCTCTCCCTTAGGCTTCGGCCGAGCTTCCTGATTAGTCACTGGATAGCGGTGTCAGAGTCGAAATCTCTGGCGTAGCCGTAAATGCTTCGCGCTGCCATACTGCGCTTCGGCACTCGATGTCTGGAGGTATGGTCCTAAATTTAAACAACAACAACAAAAAATCTTTGTGGAGTCGAATTTGCCTTAGGTCTAGATTATATACTTAYAGACACTACCTTAATATAGTTAAAGCATTAGAAACGATCAGTACTAAACAACGTCGTTCAACGCTTCGAAAGTCGAATTGACCTGGTGGCGGTGGTTTTTGCCTTCTTCGCTGTTTACCTCATATCACACAGTCGCGGATCTCGCCCATAACTTAATTACTGCGACTTGATAATGAATATTCAGTGAGGATATATCACTAAACTCTTTTGCCTCCCGGATATGGTCAGCCACGCAACCCTTCAATACTCCAGTTTCTAGTTATCTGTTGCTCAGGGCTAGCCTCGAATTTGTGCAGAAAATTCATGGGTCTCAGTGAAGGTCCGTCGAGGTTCAAAACGTTTGTATTGTTTAAAGTTGTGCATTCTTTACTTAACAGTTGGCATTTGTGAATAAATGGACACTGAAATAAGTCTGAGTGAATGATTCTGTAATCAAGGAACACAGCGGTTATAAATAAAGAATTCGAAAATAATATATATTCCCTTGCACAGTCTTTCTTCTTCATAGAGGATAACTATATTTATCAGATCAGGCTTCAAGCTAGTGCAGAAGAGGTGGGATTTAAATCTAATGTAACACATTGTTATCATGCATTTCAAAGCTTTATTGAGGATAATTTATTTATAGTTTTTCTTATTCATTAACATATTATTTTACACAACATTTTCGCGATGTTTCTTATTTTTAAATAACTTTTATAAAATTAAATGAATGTGGGTTTCCATTTTTGGTTTTAAAAACTTAATCTTTAAGTACTGTAAACATCATTGGAGTTTATTTTCGGCCGTTGAGATGTCAAATTTCCATTTTTTCCATGACGCATAGCTTATAGACCATATCTGTGCCATCGTGCATTCCATTTTTTTTTTCAACCATGTTACTACACCTTGAATATGGGGGAAAAAATTAAAAAACATCAGTAAAAAAAGTTTACTAGGTCTCTCCATTAATTCTAGGTTTTTCTACCGGTTCTCCAGTTCTCTTTGTTGTTTATGAGAAGACACCTAACATGGATACAACTAGCCTGCGTCACATCCGGAATTTTCTTCGTCAATACCACGGTATTGACGAAGAAAATTCCGGATGTGACGCAGGCTAGGATACAACTAAAACAAAGAATCTTATTGTTTAACCGGAATGACATGTGATCTGTAATGGGAATAGTTATACTTCCAAACTAAAGAGGTTCTATTCTAATTTGATCTACGAGTTAGCCATGCACTGACTTGGATGAGCTCGATCGGAGGCTGTTTTAGGGTATCGATAAAATTTGAAGATTATTATTATTATTATTATTATTATTATTATTATCATTATTATTATCATTTTATCAAAATGCGGGCTGATTTTCTGAAATGAGCCAACCATGGGATATTTGGAATCAGGGACGAACTATCTACTGGATAAGTGTTATATTAATTTTGTAAGCTTAATTTTTAAATTTTTTAAATGTTCTAGTAATTGTAATAGTTTCTTTTATAGTTTTTAGCTTATCGTAAAGGGCAACAAGTTTATTAGCATACTTTTTGCTATTTAGTGCAACCCTCGTTAAATAAAGGATTTATTATTATTATTATTATTATTATTATTATTATTATTATTATTATTATTATTATTATAACTGACGATTAGACTAACAGACAAAGCCCAGCTGTACTAATATATGTATGCAGGTTTGCGGGTCATGTCCCAAAAGTATGGACGTCCAACGGTACAACACTAGACTTGGTCTAGCAGGGACAGCAGAGGGGTGGGGCTGGTAGTGTTATAGCACTACCACGATTTATCCTTTTCCAATATTTACCAATTATAGCCCTATCATACTATTTTCTTATATAACTCCACCACGTTTTAGGGTGTTTCGCGGTCCCTGTCTAGTGTGGCACAGTTGTACCATATTTGGTTTACAGCTGATCTACTTTTATCTTAACCTCCAAATTTTACCGTCGCCTTGGTATAAAATTTCGGCGCTTTTCAGCTAAGTAAGTTTTTAAAAGTTTTTTTCCCTTTTTATCCTGTAATAGAAGTCCTAATACATTTGCTGCATCTAAGAGTGCTATAGTTTAGGCTACCCATATCATAACTTACATTTTTGAATGTGTAGAAAAAGGAAGCGTAGTTAGATCCAACTCCACTCCAGCAGCTGGTTGCCGGTCCTTGGCTGGAATAGGCAGCGGCAGCATCGTCATCCGGGGCAGTGTAACACTCACCGTAGAAACGAATACCAAAATAAGACCGCTCCATGTCACGTGCTACGTGCGCACACTGGCTGATGGTCAAGTTCATGTTGCGCCAGTTGATCTGACTGCGAAAGTTGGCGTAGAGGGTTGGTAAGACAGCTGCCTTTGTTCTGCGATCATTGTAACAGCCAAGACTTGTGAGGGGCGGTAATTGAACTAAAAGACACAATGAATAAAATACACTGTGAATTAACAAAGATAGAAACATCATAATTTCTTGCAATTTCTCAAATTAAAGAAGCAATTTATTGAGAAGATCATTGGATGTAACAGTTTTCTTCATTAACTTGTAAGGAATGAAGAAATGGCAAAGCAGACGTATAATGCCAGGCTTATCAAGCCGATTGGCGCGCAAGGGTAATATCCAAACAGTACTGATCCGATATTTGACTACACAAACATGAATTTTCTCGATGCGATTTTTGCTTCAAATACATATATAGGGTAATTGAAAGACAGCAAGACAGACAGACAAAAACAAATGGACGGACAGATGGACTGACGGACGGATGGACGGACGGATGGATGGAGATGATAAACAAACAGACAGATAGGCAAACAGACCGATAAATAGGGAGACAGACAAACGGCAAACAACAGAAAGACAATTGCAAAGAGAGAGAAAGGCTTTTCTTTTTGCAAACTCCCATAATGAATCTGTAACTGGCGCTACACTTTAAAAGACTTCGTCCAATCAGTTTGTAATTTATAATGCATGCTTTACTTTACCTAGTTCTACGCGATTTGACGACAACCAGTGCAAAAAGGAAATGAATGAAGACCAAGGACCTATATTCATTTTATTCTTTATCTCTACATTTCAACAATTGCATGTTTGAAGAAAACGTCTATGTAAATATACCACTTGAAAAATCTCTTAGAAAACGAACCAGAACTGGGCCTCATACGATCGTGGCACCTCTTTTTTTTTTTTTTCACTCGAAAACTTTTCTTTCAACGATCAGTTTGCCGAGAGAGGACGGACACAAAAATGGCTACAAAGTAGGCTACGATAAGTGTTAAAATTCTTAAAATATTGCAAGTGTAATGATAATGATAACAATAACGCATGAGTGTGCCCATGAATAGTTATGATTCATAAGTGATTTGGAAGTGCAGTTCTTCTACTGTGAGTGAGGAATTGTTCCATTTGTAGCAAGGGATTTTTATTATTCACCACTATGATATTTCATAGCTTATCATATACTATATTTATGACAGATTATATCTTATTTTATAGCTTTATTATAGGTTTCTCTTCTCTCGTATGGACCAGATTTTGACTTCATCCTGTGAGAACAAAAGCAGAATTTTAATTAAAAAGTTCGAACTTTTCAAAAAGTGGGATTTTTTCCGGAAGTAAAATATATAAAGCATTTCCTATGGAGAATGGTTGTTAATATATATGTGTTGTTGTTGTTGTTGTTGTTATTATCATTATTATTATTATTGCAAATTACCTAGTTATTAGCGAGATTTGCAATTGTAAAACAAAAAGCATCAAAATAAAGTTTTCATTATTATTATTATTATTATTATTATTATTATTATTATTATTATTATTATTATYATYATYATTATTATTATTATTATACACAGCGGTATACGCACAAAATGAGAAAACACACACTTTTCGTACCCTATTGGAAATATTAGTCCTTTTGATTTTACCTTGTGCTTTTCCAATTTCAGACTACGTGTCATTCCCTAGAGAGTATCATTTCTTTGTTTAACGATTGCTCACGAAAAGATATGAACATGAATACAACTCCAAACAAAGAATCTTATTCTCAAGAGAATGACACGTGGTGTTAAATGGGAAAACATTACGCCCAAGGTAAAGACGTCTGTTGATATTGTGTTTGAACAAAATGCTCTCTTACCTTGGTTTATCTCGCATTTACATTTTGTAGACCATGTTGGACCAGTGGGCTCCTACTCCAACCACACAGTTATCTGCAGCACCATATTTATTATAGTTCTCGCTGGCGACGTTATCCGGCGCTGACCAGCATTCCCCGTAGTACTGGACCGCAAAGTAAGTATAACCTTTATCACGTGCGATGTGGCTACATTCACTGATCGTCTTGTTCATGTTCCTCCATACAATTTGCGGGCGCATGTTGCCAAGAAGGACTGGTAAGGCTCGGTCAGAAGTGTCAGCGAAGCAGCCGAGGTTTGTAAGAGGAGGTACTGTTTCTGAAAAATAGAAGTAACTTTTTTAAGATGATGAAATCTATCTTTATAATGACATAAATCAGATAACTAGCCAAGGCGACTGAGTTTATGGCTTCTGTCAATCAAATCAAACAGTTTGAGTTAATAATAGTTTTTGTGGATCGAAGGAAGCCAAAAACCCTGACATCTTGGGCAGAGTCGGCCGCGTAATTATGAAGGATTGATAGTCTTTTTATGTTTTGAACTGCATGCGAGTATTCTTGGTTTGACAGGAAAAAAATATCGCAGTTACTTTTAGAGCTTTTTTTAGTCATATACATATACCACCATCAATTCGGGTGTTTTATATATTTTATTTATTTATTTTTTATCAAAATTTATTAATTAATTTTTTCAATATGCAGCTTATATAGTTTTTATAGTTTGTCAATAAAGTTTTCGTTACGAAGATTTGAAAATATTCCTCTTGCACGTCAAAGCAGCTCAATTTGGAGGACAAAACAAAAGAATTTCAATCTCCTGGGAATTGGAAACCCATTGTTATGTCCTCAAAAATGGAGCTGCATTTTGACGACTGCAAGGGGTATGCAACTTTAAAAAAAATAATTTGTGAAAAATTGATGCCACTGTTTTTATAAGTTGTGAAAAAATTATTCTTCAAATCAAGAACACCATTAATAAAAAAATAAGCAAAAAATAAATAGATAAATTTAATTGTGATTTAATTTTTACCGCTGCTTAAACTTATTTTCGTATGAGTAGTATTATTTCTGATAAACGTATTTCAACTGTACTCATACGAAAATAAATGCTTTTAGTTTTAAGCTAATTGCATCAATAAGCATCTTTTTAAGAGCAATATTTATTTCTAATTACTTATTATCCTTTTATTATTAACTTGAAAAATTATCATTAATAACTTAATAAACTATTACCATTCTTAAGAATGATTACCTTTAATTAACTATATATATCAGATCATGCATTTCTTTGTTGGACTTAGCTTTAGTGCTTGTTTAATTGTTTTTGGTCAGTGTGATTGTTTTGTTGAATAAACTCACCGATTTTGGAAAACCTGTAAGGGCTGACTCGAACCACCACGAGGAAAATGTTTGTAATAACAGAGCAGATCTATAGCCGTGGATGTGATCATTTGTGAGTAGCATATTGAACAGCTGACCAGTCCCAACAAAAATGATCAGAAATAACAATAAAATAAAGTTTCCATTTTTTAAGAGGGGAACAGTTTTTTAATGATATATTCAGCTAACAATCCCTTGGTCTTGGAACCTAAAAATTGGAATTGTGTGTATCAACACAATTTAGAAAACTGGAAAAATTATCTGTTCTCTCAAAACAGATATGTAGTCACTTGCTTGCGATTTCTAACTTTTGATTCAATCAGGAATCTTGAACATGTACAACCCGTGCAGGATTTGTTTGGTCTCAGTCTTGGAGTCGTCTATTTTGTACTTGAATGGTCTTGGATAATTTTCTCCGAAGATGAACGACTGCGGAAGTCGTATCAAACTACCAATATAATTTATAAAACTACAAAATTCAAACTCCTCCACATGCTATTATGAAACTGTATAACGCCAAGCAATGCTTTACTGACTTAATCTCATTTTGAAAAGTATCTTTTTTGTTCCATAAAATACCCGAAAGATATTTCTTGGAGGTATTAACAAACCCAAGGCAAACATTAGATTTACCACTTATATCTGCAGCGGGATAATGGATTGGTAGGGTATAAGTTTATATACAATTAAATATATATGAATAAGTCAACCAACCCAAGAAAACTAGTATGAGGTAGTTTGTTTGAAACAAGTTTATAAATGTAAGATTTACTGATCTCGAYTTTATGGCAATGTTGACGGATAAGATTATGACAAGCCAAATGATCAATCTTGTTTTTGCGCATGTCATTGTCATCAGGCAAAAATAATATGTAAGAAAAACACACGATTCCCCAGTTATAATTGATTGCCCTTGAGTTTACATATGCTAAAATTTAAAATACAAAATATAACGAATATGTTACCTCAACTAGAAATAGATTAAACAAACAATTGACAAGCACATATACACTGTACATGTGCATACGGGAATATATGATATTTATGGACTACTGCCTTTTCGTGAACTGAGTAGAATGCTCGAATGTATAGATAAATGAATGAATCATTTGTGAATAAAATAAATGAATCACGGATGAAGTGGATGGATAGATGGATAATGGAATGAAATGGACGGATGGATAATGAAAAGTAAAGGATGAAGATTATGCAAGGGATGAATGAAATGGAGGGATAGATGGATGAATGAATAGATGAATAGATGGCTAGATGGTTAGATGAACAGATGATGGATGTAAAAATGCTCAATACTTTTTTATTATACGTACTCCTATTCCATCACAAAACTTTTACAGATCCCCACCATTGACTTACCCATGGTGTAGACAAACATGTATCCTTGATTTCCAATACCATTGTTACAATCAGCCATCGATGCTGGACCCTGCTCATAGTACTTAGTCTTGGTGTTTGGTCCAGAGTAACATATGCCATTGTTAGCCATTGCAAAGTATGTAAACCCAGCTTCATGAGTGAGGTTAAGGCACATTTCCACTGCGATTTCCGTGTGATCAAGATTAACAGAACCTCTTAAATCTCCCAGGATTTGCTCCAGAGGAACAGGATTGGCTTTGAAGCAGGCAATTTTAATTTTATCAGGTGCTGGAGGCGAAAGAATTAAACAATATTTGATACAACTTATCTATATTGATGGTTTTCAACCATTCCCAAGAGAATTAAATAACAAAAGGTACGGCGGCCATGTTGGAGGATATAACAAAAGAATTCATTGACAATTCTTTTGTTAAGTTCCTCCAACATGGCCGCCGTGAAAACCATCAATTCCGATATATGAAAGAAATATTTATGAGTGATTGTTCCATGAATAAGCCTCTTTGGCGTAGCCTTATAGTGTTTCCATTGTAGACCACATGTCATTCTCTAGCTATTTGATCATTTGTATTCACCATTTTCCATGCATTGGTTCACTGGTCAAACACAAAGCGCTCAAGCGAGGCTCCAAGGTACTTTCAAAGGATCATTCAAATTTGAACCTTGCAACCTCGACTGAGTGCTTTGTGTTTGACCAGTGAATCGATGCATGGAAAATAGTGAACGTTTTAACGGTTACACATGAGAAGACATGCAGCCATGGATATGAATACAACTCTGAAACAAAGAATCGTATTCTTCAGATAATGACAAATGGTCAGAAATGGGAAATGGCATCCAATCGAAAATGGTACGCACAAAGGCAGTTGACTTTCGGTATCGTTTCGTTTAGCTTTCCTCGTTTTATTTTATTTATTTTCTTATTATTTTACATTGCCTAATATCAACTGCAGATTATTTGTTCAGTTTGAATCGTATGGTCAATTATTTTTCACACACACACACACACACACACACACACACACACACACACACACACAAAAGAACATCAAATATTGCCAATGTTTTATTAACATACTTTGACCCCACGCAGCATATCCCAAATGCAGCTCAATTTAGAGGATTTAAATAATAGAATATTACTCCCTAAGAATTAACTTAAAAATCATTCCTTTTGCCTGGGAATTCTTAATAGGGTTACTAAATAGGGCTTCTTGAGTGATATACATTTCATGAGCATCATTAACTTACGGCCACATGGAGTATCTGCGTTGCAAGGCTGTGATGTAATTGGTTTTGGCATCTGATCACACATTGTGCTTGTTACCGTTTTTACCACTCCCTCGGCATCAACTTGACGACAGACAAGTTTTCTTGTAATGATTCCAGTACCACAGGTGGTCGAGCACTAAAAAGGAATCAGTCAAACGATAAATCATAGACTCTACTTGTTAATGCTTATTTCCCTGGATCCAATCAAAGGGGGGAGAAAAAGTTTCTTTGCGGAATACTGCATATACTTGATGAAGTGGTTTAACTGCGGAATGCGTATGAACTACTTCGACGGTACGGCGACCATCTTGCCAGGGGGCAAAACAAAAGTAAGAAGAAAAAAAATGTACATAGTTTCGTGTATTTGTCTTTCTTTTGTGGGTGAGGTGATCGATGTACCGTATTAATTCATTTTTTGTTGTATTCTCTTGTGGCGAGGCCTAAATATCRATCGGCGTCATTATTGCAACAAAGCTTTATTTGCCCCCTGGACRCCCCATAATGTCTTGATCCAAGACGGCCGCCGTATCGTCAAAATAGTCCATTTTATAGATGTCATTTTGTCCGCAACGTAACCTTGAACGTAAGAATCATATTTCAAAGTCAAGGAAAAGTCCAATGTACGCAGCTATTCCTTTTCTATGGATGAGTGTTGAGTTACGTCACATCTATAGTTAAAGGGCCTATAACGCCTAACTTATATTTTCAGTATTCATTTTACATGAATATTTGAATGGTAAAATATCTTGAAATGATTTGAGTGATGCATCTTGGAAATATCAAGGTTTATACTTCCAATATGTTAATGAGTGCGATGTCATATTTTGTTAAATGACATCAACATGGCCGCGATAACGTACAATCGAAGAATGCCCCTTGCAGCACGTCAGAATGCATCTTAATTTGGAGGACATAACAATATTAGGTTCCAATTCTCATGAGATTGATATTATTTTGTTTTGTCTTCCAAATTGAGCTGCTTTGAAGTCACATTCAAGAGGTCTATGATAATATAACATCATCACTATTACATACTGGAGACCATTCCAAGGACTGCCAATCGGGTGGGCACTCAATTTGTCTACAGTTTCTAGTGAGCTTAGTGACGTTGGGCTTATTAGAGGCTGAACAACTGCTGTCAGGTAATTCCTCGTAGCTTGTGGAGTTGATCTTCTTATGGCAGTACAGACGACGTGACTGGGAGCCTTTGCCACATGATTTAGAACATTCCTGCCAACGAGTTAGATGCCACCTGAAGGAATATTTCCTCAAAGTTATTTATGATGATGATGATGATGATGAT